ACCATATTTATAGAGCCCGATTATGACAGCATAAAAATAAGGCTTTTGGAGCTTAAACCCAGAACTAAATCATGAGATCAAAATACAAGCAGATAGGAGGAGAAATCTGACTGGATATTAACTAAAGGAGGTAGAAGTGGAAGGTCAAGAACATGAACCCAAGTAAAATCATTCCCCACTGCTGGCTCTAACAAAGGACTTCCACGAAAACTGTGTGGGTTCAGGGCTTCCAACCTTTAAGGAGCATGGCTATGTGAGAAGAGGCTGGAGCTGGGGCTACTGTCCATAGCCTAAATCAGCGGTTCCCAACTCCAGGTCTGCAGACTGTTGCCAGGCCACAAAACACTGGATGCCGGGCTGCAGCAGCTCTGGGGGCCAAGGTTAGGGTACACCGCCCAGGACCTGCCTACCGCGGCTGTTGGGAGAGGCGTGTCATGCCCTGCCTCTCAGCCAACTAGTGCCAGGCAGGGGCGATGTCTCTTCCTGGCCGTTAAGACAGCCTGGCACGGCAGCTTTAGAGCAGCCGTGATCTGGGCAGCAGCACTCAGCTGGTGGTTGGGAGGCAGCGTAGGGCTAAGTGAAAGGGGTGGGACAGGCCCTGAAGGCTCCAGGGGCAGGGCTAGTGCTGGGGTTGCTCTGGGGGTGGGAGCTTCTAAGTGGCATGGGGCTGAGAATGGGGGGCACTGGGGTGGGAAGCTGGCACTGGGAGAGTCTGTGGATAGGGCTGTTAGTGAGAGGATACAGGGGTAGGGCTGCCACTTGGGGACTCTGGGAATGGGGCTAATGTTGGGAGCTGGCACAGTAGGGTTCTGAGGAGTTGGGTACAGTGGGGCTCTGGAAACAGGAGGCTGGCACTGGAGGGGTCTGGTGGAGGGAGCCTCTGATGGGTGGGGGCTGGCACTGGGGGATCTGAGTGGTAGGATGGCACGGAGGGGTGGGTGTAGGGGACTCTGAGGTTAGTGGCTGCTGCTGGAGGGCTCAGAGGACCAGTGTGGACCCAGCCCCAACCCCCAGAAGCTGCCGCAAATAACCAGAGCTGAAGCTGGCTGTTCGCAGTGGCTCTGGGGGCTAGGGCTTGTGGCAGACTGGAAACATTTTATTTGCGTTTTCATTATTTGCCTAATGAATATGAAAATATGCAAATAAAAAGATGTCAGTCCACCAAAAGTGTGTGAATGGGTTTGCTGGTCTGCAATATAAAAAAGGTAGGGAAGCTTTGGCCTTATACATCTAGTCAAACAGCAATACTGTGCAGAAAACAAGAATATGCCATCAAGTTTTATAAAGATGCTGATTTTCTCTCATTAATAAAAATGTTTCAATACTGCATTACTTCAGGAGGTACACAGGACATAGAACAAAAACGTAAGGACAGGATTCATGTATCTGGCATTGTTAATGTAACTCACTCAATTTCATAATGATAGTTACTGTCTCGGATTCTTGAAAAGACTAAACTAGCTAGAAAAATTAAATGGATGGAATTTAAATTCAAAACACTGGAACTACCTTCCTAGTTAAATGGATGTGCTTTTCACAAAAATAAACCTAAAACTGAAACATGTACACATTGCATGTTATTAAACTTTGTAATGCACATGGAGACATGTGACTGAGAGCAATATACAGTCCTAAAAAAAATAAATGAATAAGGAAAAAGAATCTATCCAAATACAAAAACAGTCACTTAACAGCAGACAAAGAAATTAATCATGCTTTGGTTTATTTACTCTAATGCTACATCGTTTTCAAATGAGTCAAACAGCAGGGGCAAGCCATCTAGCAAACTACTCAAACAGCTTGCTCCTGGTCTCCTTGAAGTCAATTGCAGAATGCTCATTGACATCAATGTAAGACTGAGCCCTATCGCTTCACAAAGGGCCTGATTCTGCAGTTCGTGTTCATAAAAAACTCCCACTGTACGCTCATTTCTAAAATACAGTTTTATTCTTAAAGATACATTATTCATCTCTTTTCTTTTATACTCAGTCTGTCACTCATCAGTTTGACTAGGCAGTCAGATATCTGAACACCAATCAGTTTCTTGCTAAAGTTTTCTGGCTTTGTTTTGTTACGTAAACATACACTGTTATTCAAGCATAGCAAAAAGGATCACATACATACACTAAAGTAGGTTTTAGTTAGCTACATAACTTGGGTCCCTATCATATGTGATTTTTAATTCTCTTTAAGTACACATACATAAAAAGTATGCACATAATGGTATTAATTTCACAGATGTTACCCTAAAAATAGTTTATAATGCAACTTTTTCATCTGAAGAGAAAAGTAGCTAACTTAATAAAAACAAGGTTTTTTTGTTAAGCTGTACAGACCCTTAAATTTAAAAAGCTTTGTTACAAATAAACATCTGCAGTGTCTCATAATATGCATACAGAATATTAGAAACAAGTAGTACTTTTGATGTTGAATATCAGAGGGGTAGCCGTGTTAGTCTGAATCTGCAAAAGCGACGAGGAGTCCTGTGGCACCTTATAGACTAACTGAAGTGTAGGAGCATAAGCTTTCGTGGGCAAAGACCCACTTCGTCAGATGCATGAGATGTTGAATGTATGCCTTACCAACATTATACAAAAGTGAACGTATCTCATAAGGAGTGGCCCATATTAGCACGACAGTCAAGGCCTCAAACTGTTATAAACGTCTGGATTTTCGTCCATCTATCTAAAATACCCATAAGATTTTAATACTAACAGTGTCAAAGAAATAGCTCTGTTCTAAGCCAATTAATTTCTAACAAGACTACAAATTAAATACACGACAAAAAATGTTGTGTGCATCAAAACTATGCACATAAATAGTTTGTCCATACATTAAATAACCTATCTTATGGTATCAATCAGAGAACAAAATATTTTTACAGGTTTTGAAAAAGGAAAATATTTAGATCCTTACCCTGTACAGGGCTCACTCCACATTCTTGTCTTACAGTAATATTTTAGATGCCAGAGACACAAAAATTTAACCAGTTACTCACCGGGGATAAAAACAATCATGCAGTTAAAGTGCTTTACAACATTCTCAGAAACAGTTTAGTTATTATGGGTCATCACCGTATTTTCTAAGGATCTGTTATTAAAGATCTGCAGCTTTCTTAAATAACTACGTATGTGCTACTATGGTGTTTAATTGTTGGCACAGAAAAAACATCACAATTTATTAGACAAAGTACAAAGTTTGCAGTTTATTGTGAAAAATCAAGTGTGGGCAATTGATAAACAGGAAAACTAATCTGTAGAGGAAGGCAAAAGCATTATCCATTTATTAGCTGGTTAACTGATTATTCATTTTATTTGTAAAATATGTCTCGTTTAGACATCCAATGTCTAGTTTTGATTCTTATGACACAGATTTAAAGAGACCACAAAATAAAGTAGTTATGTGCTTAAAAATCAGCGACAATTACCAGTTTATTATGCATTCCTTATCTGAGAAAAGCAAGAATATACAATTTTCAAAGAATGAAAACATCAACAAATAAATTCCTATGCAATCATGTGATTCAGTTGGAACAGCCTGGTTAGACAATTATATCAGAAAACGTAAATGTTATCTTGTTAGAAACAAATTAACATGTGATAGTAAGTTAGCAAATCAATATTCCAATGTGACACAAAGAACACTTGCATGTTGTCAGCTACCCTGTACAACTAAGTCAAAGTGCCATTTCTGCTCCAGTATTTGCAAATTGGCCATTAAGTAGGGGCCAACCCCTTCTCTTGCCCTAAGAGATCACAGTTACAGCAAAATGTTTCAGAACCTGAATTCACATCCCTTTCCAACTTCCCCAAGAAGTAACATCATAAGCCCTAATTACGTTAAATCCTTTTCAGTGGGACACATCAAGCCCAAGCCCCTGTTAAATGTAAAGCCCACAGTATGCTTCCCCCTACTGAATTTCAGGCATTTAGCCTGAAAAGTAGGAATTTTTCAAACTCTCAGGCCTGCCTCCAAAGTCTCTGGACTTTCAGTATTGCAGCTCTGAAATGTGACACTGAATAGAATATGGGAGGAACCTTTACAGACAAGCTGAAAAAAGGCAGTTCTAAGAGCCACATTTTTTCAGAGTCAAACTGTTGGAATATATTATTTTTTCTGATTTTAAACACACACTTATTTTAGGCAATATTTTGTTTCTCACCAAGGAAATACCACAGGATAAAGATTTAGGGAGTGGCCAAGATGAAAACCTCTGTTTTTTCTATTTCCCACTCTGGGCAGGTATGGCAGCATATTATAAAGTGCCTAATCGCACATACAGTAACTTGCCACCCGACAGCACTGACACAACAAATGCATGTGAAAATATTGATCCTTAAGGAGTACTGCGGTTTCTCGGTTGCAGATTGAGAATTTTATTTCATATATTCGTTTTAATGACATTCCCTAAAACCTGCACACGCGCGCGCGCACACACACACACACGTTTAAGACTAATAATCTGCCAGCCCGGCTGCCCTCTTCTCCTTGCTGGGATGTCTTGCAGCAGAGAGAGAGAGAAGGCAGCAGGGAGGGCCTCGCCTACTCAGCACTACAGATCGAGAGTGAGCTGCAAACTTTTTTTTTTAATTTAGGGGAGCCCCAGCTAATGCAAAATAAAATGTGATAAGCATTTGCCTACCTGGTGTAAATTTGCAACAAGTGCATGCAGGATCCGGGAGCACAGACCTGGCCGGACTGGACACGATTTTTTTCTCCTTTGGGGGAGGGGGTGTGATGGAGTAATTTCAATACTAATTTATTACAGAACTGCCTTTGCTCGGTCCTACTTTACTTACAGTACAGCGCTTATCCATCCTGTAAACAAATATCGCTCCGCCAGAAAACATACTCCTCCCTCCCTCTCCCCCCATGCAATACACCCTCCCTTAAGCAATGCACAGGGAGCGAAGAGGGAGTGGTGGAAATATCCACCCACCTCCCCACACTTTGCAGCCCTACAGACCCTGCTAGGAAAAGCTCCGAGAAGCTGGACTTACCTTTTGCATGATCCCCCTTTGCGCCCTCCTAGTGACTGGGGGAGAGGTTGCTGGAGGTTCCTTTCTTGTAATCTCTGATGCAAAATCCCAGTGTCAGCAAATCGCTGTCAAATAATTTTCTTGCAAAAGAAAAAAAAAAAAAAAAAAGCAGAAGCAGAAATGGGCGGAGGCTGGACGAGGCGAACGGATCCCTCCGCCGAGATGGGTCGGGCCCTGGGGTTGCGAAGCAGGAAGTAACAAGGTGTCAGTAGCAGCAATCGCCCCGAGCCCCTTTCCCATGCTGCCGTGCAGCGCCCGGGGCTTTGGGTGCACGGATGGCTCAGGGCACGCGCTTGGGCTGGCCCCTGCCGGGCGAGTCGGGCTGGGCTCGGCCCCGCGCCCCCTTCTCGGGGCTGCAAACACAGCGCAGGTGCGGGAGCGCCCGGTCGGGGCGGCGGAGCCCCGCGTGCCCTGGGAGGGGCCGAGGGGAGAGTTTGGGGCCTTCGCTGCCATGATGAGAGGCGCTGTCGCCCCCCCGCCAGGCGGGGCCACGGGCCCGGGTTACGTGCGGGTGCGCTCACCCTGTCTGGGGGCTGCGGGGCTGCTATGCCGCCCTGCGGGCTGTTGGAAGAGTTTCTTCCTGCTCACACGCCATGACTGTACAACGTGGGAAGGAGGAGGGTCACCCACAGGGAACTGCGCCCCTGGCTCGGCGTGTATTGGTGCAGCGCTCCCCAGACCTGAGCCTCTCTCTGCCCCACGGCTCCGCCTCCCTCCCAACCCTGTCTGGGGGCTGCGGGGCTGCTATGCCGCCCTGCGGGCTGTTGGAAGAGTTTCTTCCTGCTCACACGCCATGACTGTACAACGTGGGAAGGAGGAGGGTCACCCACAGGGAACTGCGCCCCTGGCTCGGCGTGTATTGGTGCAGCGCTCCCCAGACCTGAGCCTCTCTCTGCCCCACGGCTCCGCCTCCCTCCCAGAGAGCTGGCTGGCTGGGCTGCGGGAGGCAAGTTCCGCTGCTGCAGCGCTTGGCTGCCTCTCCATTTTGGTGAGTGCGCCGCGCAGGTGGAGCGCCGTGCCCGCAGCAGGGGCTGCCACGCGCCAGCTTCGCCCCGGCCGCCAGCCTTTCGGGTTGCGAGTTCGGGCTTTTGATGTAGTAGTGTGTGTGGGGGCGTGCGCGCGCACATCTCCACAAAGCCGCACAGAGTTGCTCAGTCGGCCAGCCCCGGGGCCCGGAATAGCCTTAAATCGCTTCTGAACGTAGGCACACAGCGAAGCGCTCCTCCCATTCCTTCTCCGCGCTACCTTCTCTTCGGGGGCGGCAGGAGGGGGTGTTGGATCACTTGGGACAGGTAGTGGCTATGATTTTGTAGCATGGGCAGGTAAATCTACCTGAGCCTCGACGAACTCGTTTTCTCCAGACGCTTGAGGGATGGTAGGTGCGTTGTTGTAGGAAAACATTGGGCAATGGAAGAAACTGCTGCCTATGATGGTCTCCCAGGTCCTAGTGACAGTGACTAAAAAGAGCAAAGGGTCACCAAATGAAATGAATAGGTAGCAGGTGTAAAACAAACAAAAGGAAGTTTTTCCTCAGCGCGCAGTCAACCTGTGGAACACCAGGACTGCGTCTACACTGGCATGATCTTGCGCAAAAGCAGCCACTCTTGGGCAAAAACTTGCTGCCTGTCTAGACTGGCTGTGTGTTCTTGCGCAAGTAAACTGACGTTCTAATGTATGAAATCAGAGCTTCTTGCGTCAGAACTCTGACGCTCCCACTCAGGAATAAGCCCTTTTGCGCAACTGTTCTTGTGCAAGAGGCCAGTGTAGACAGGCAATATGTATTTCTTGTGCAAGAAAGCCCTATGGTTAAAATAGCCATCAGCTTTCTTGCACAAGAGAGCGTCTACACTGGCATGGATGCTCTTGTGCAAAAGCACATCTCTTGCAGAAAAGCACATGCCAGTATAGACGCTCTCTTCTGGAACAGTTTTTGCAGAAGAACTCAGAATTCTTCCGCAAAAGAGTTTTTGTGCAAGATCACACCAGTGTAGACGTAGCCAAGAGGTTGTAAAGACCAGGACTTTAACAGGGTTCAATAAAGATCTAGATTCATTCATGGAGGTTAGGCCCATCAGTACTTACTAGTCAGAACGGTTAGAAATGGTGTCCCTAGCCTCTGTTTGTCAGGGGCTGAGCTCCTCTTCCCAGCTATCTGCCCCTATTGCCCTGGCCTCTTGCCTGTGACAGTCCTGTGGACTCTGGTGGCCCCACCAACCTTGGGATTTCAGGCTGCAGCCCTGTGGGCGCTCAAACCCTTCTAGCTATGAGCTCTGCAGCCCTTCTCCTGTCCCCTCCATACCCCGCTGGCCATGGACTCGGCAATTCACTGCCGCCTTCCCATCCCTGCTGGCTGTGCTGCAGACTCCAGCAGTCCCACAAGCTTCCCAGCCCCATCAGCTGTGTGCTCTACCCCTCTCTCCCCTCCTCTCCTTTCCCCCCCACCCCCCTGCTGTGTGCTCCAGGACCCCTGACAGCTTCCCAACCTGGCTGCTGTGGGCTCTGGTGTCCCATGGGCTCCAGTGGCCTGCTCTGCTCCCAGCTGCCTTCCAGACCCTGGATGTTGCCAGACCAGAGAGTCCCGAACCACAGAGGTTCAACCTGTAGTTGTATCATCTCCAAGGGCCCATGTCATATGCCAGCTGGGAAATCGTTGGAGCATAATGCACATGAGCCCTTCCCTCCTAGCCCATCCCCATGTGCTGGGAGCTGTGTGGAAAGAGGTATAGAAACTAGTTGGTTCTAAATCAACTGGGAAAATCCCCAGCTGGCAGATTGGAATGTTTTAACTTTCTTAACCCCTAAGTATTAATTGTGGCCTTTATTTTTTCCACTGTTGTGAAATATGCTCAGCCCTGAAAATGAACACCACAGATCTGTCGAGTTTTTCCATATATATCCTTGCTTTGATTTTCAGATTTTTAGAGACCATTTCCTTGGAATATCTGCCAAAATACCTCTTAAGTTCAGTGGTTCATAATCAGAAATTCAGAATTAGACTTACAGGGAGGTATTTTTGCTAGTGATCATCCCATGTTTTCCCATTCTTCACTGTTAGGCAATCCAAAGATGTAGGATTGTTCCACAGTTGAAAATCCAGGTGCCTTTACTCTGACCTTGCAACTCGGTACAGTTGAAATGTTTTCTGTTTTGTTTTTTGTAAGACTACTTCATGGTCTGACTAATGTGGGTCACTAGGCTTTCCCATCCTACTTCAGTAATGTTTTTTGCATTCAACTGTATGTCTAGTCCAGAGTTCACATTTGCAGCTCCTAGCTTCATTCCATCCAGTTCTTCACTGCATTTGCAATTGCATCTGCTCTCTGCTTTTAACTCACCTCCTTTACCAATGCTAAGTCCACTCTGCTTAAATGCTCTTACTGAAGTACTACAAGATGGTATCTTTCACTTGTTAGGGAACAGGATGTTAAGGTCAAATAAATAATCTTAACATTTGTTTCCCTTTTGCCATAGATATTTTACAACAGTTTTATGAATCTGAGATATGATACATCTGTTGGACTTTCTGAATGTCTTAACTATTTTTTACCTGAAATACCTACTACGTGTAGTGGTCCCCCAAAAGGTCTGACCTTTAGAGATCCTGATCCCATCCCTATCTCCACCTCTAAGTCTAATGATCCGAACAATGAGTTTCCACCATTTCTATTGGTAGATTTTGCACAGTGCATGGTAATAGACCTCCCTCCATGTTAGGGATATTTTTCCTATTTTGTATACTATATTTCCTTTATTCTATTTCATACCATTCTAATTATATTATCTTGGATCATCCTAAAACTTCTAGGCTATGTCTACACTGGCGGGTTCTTGTGCAAGAAGTCTTGCACAAGAACATGTCCACACTGCCATGTGTGAGATGTGCTTTTGCGCAAGAGCATCCATGGCAGTGTGGACGCTCTCTTGCGCAAGAAAGCTCTGATGACCATTTTAGCCATAGGACTTTCTTGTGCAAAAAACCCCTGCTGCACATCCACACTGCCCTCTTGCGCAAGAGCTGTTGCGCAAGAAGGCTTACAAAAGAGCATAGCTCTTGCACAAGAAATCCTCTCTTGCGCAAGAACCCGCCAGTATAGACATAGCCCTATTGTCTCTAGGTAGGAATGTGCAGTGCCATATAAGCACATCTTTGTCAAACTAATCATAAGTATCCTAATATTGTAAAATAAATAAATCAGAATATCAGAATTTGTACCCAGCTCTGAAAGGTACAGAATGTTCCAGTCATCTCTCAACCTAACTTTGCCCCCGAGCGCCTGCCCTCCCCATGGTGTGGGGGCGGAGGGAAGGGGGGAAGTGAGGGGAGAGGCGGCTTGGCTCCCTTGTGGAGTGGGGCCTTGTCAGAAGGGGTTGGGCATTGAGCTGGTGGCTTGCCTCTCCCAGCCCTATTTTCACCCACCGTCCATGTTTCCCCTCTCTACTCCCAAATGCTGCCACTAAACAATCCAAAATGCAGCCACTAAAACAATTTCATTTTTTCACCATTTCAGACATGTCTCCTGCATTTGTTATTCTGTATATCTGTCTCAATTCTTTTCCCTGATGTAGCATCTCTTTTCCTGCATTATACTCAAGCCTTACAATTAGCGCTTGTGTCCTTTCAACTGCTTCAGACACATTCAGTAAAAATGGTTCAGGCTGCTTAAAAATTGGTCTATACTGTATTTGTCACCACTTTTAAAATAAGCTTAACTGAAAACCAGTTAGGCAATTTTCCCAATGTAGATGGGCCCACAGAAAGAAATACCTATGCACAAGAGGGTCGGTTACGTTGCCCGATGCAGTGTTAGCAGGAGAGAGGGAAGGAGGATTACTTTTGTGGGTTTGTCAAACCTTTATTCATGTTTGTTTTGTATTTAATAGGCTTACATCTGTGTCTTTGCTCTTTAGAGCACTGTATTGTACACTGAAATGGATGGTTCCTTTCAGCAATTAAACAAAGCCAATAACCTGAAAGGAACTATAGCTCAAAAGCACAATCTTGACCTCTGATTGACCTTGACATTTACAACGAAAAAGAAGTTTTCTTTTAATAGACAAAACAAGTCAGTGAGCCACAAAGAACTAGAAGAAAATGGTTGTGTTGCTTTTTATTACTTTGTTTAAACCAACATACTACATGGTTTACAATAGTTCAGTACAATGTATTAGGAGCTGAAGCTGATTTAATGTCTGTTTATAATTCAGACTAATCTTGAAATAAACAAATGAATGTTTGGAAAACGGATGAAACTGGTCTGTTGGAGACATCACTAAACACATCTCTGAAAAGCAAAACATGGACTTACTAAAACGCTTTTGCCTCCTAACTTTAGCTATATTTCTGGAGTTTTACCTAATGAATATTCAAAAGTAATTGTAACAGTATAAAATTATTTAATACTTATAAATATGTAGGGTATTGCCTTGGACATAGGCCAGTTCTTCAGGGTTTTTTCCTCACACTTTTAAAAACTGTTTAGCCTTTAAAAACAGAGTGAAAGAGAAAGCAGAAAAGACAAAATAAAGGAGGTGGTGCCATTGCCACTAGACTCCCTAGTAGTTGGAATCTAAATTAAACTTGCTATAGGGAAATTTAATTTATGCTGACTCTCTTGTTATGATGGAAGTGAGAATTGTTTAAAATGAGGAACTTTTTCTGTTGTCCAAGATGTTTCTAAAGTCTCGGATAACTCATTCACTCCTCTCCCCTGCCCACCTTTAGGAGGGTGGGGAACAAGGGTAGGATTCACACTGTGTAGCACCCAGAGATCTGAATGTAAGGATGATTTCCATTTCCTTGTGACCAATGGTGAAAGTAACTTAAAATTTTTTACAGGTACTGTCCCATTGCAACCTGGGTCCCTTTAAACAGCTCCCTATTGGCTTTGCCTCAGCTCAGCCAGCTCTTGCTGGAGCTGTGCACCTGCTCACTTTCATATCTGCTTGTGACAAAATTTGGAGGCTGTTTTAACGGGTAAACTACCTTGATGGCTGCTACTCAGGACAGACACAAAGGTATCAGCTCATGAAAGCTTATGTTCAAATAAAGTTGTTAATCTTTAAGGTGCCACAATTTTCCTTGTTTTTGTTGAAACAGACTAATAGGTACTCCTCTGGAACTCATGCAGACATTGCCTATTGTTTTTTACTCCTCTGTTGCAGGGCCATCCCTATCAGTTCTAGTGCCTTATGCAGCCCCAGTGACTGCACCCCCTGTGGGGATGAGTGGGGCTGAGGGCTTTCCATGGGCAGAGTTGTGCTCAAAAGCTGTGGGGACAGGATCTGGGGGGGCAGGCCCACAGCTATAGGAGGTAGGAGCAGGGCAGGAAGGCAGCAGGGATGGCCTCCCTCTACACTCACTGGCTGTGGCAGGAAGCAAAGCCCCAGCCCACTCTACTCCCCCAGCTCCCAGCCATGTCACCTGGGAGAGGAGACTTGTGGGAAGGATTGGAACCACCTCACTCACTGAGGGTGGGAAACAAAGACCTGACTGTGAGCCAACAGAGTGGAGAAGGCTGGATTGTTCCACTTCCCACTACTGCTGGTGAGTGAGCCTGACCTCTGTTGCCAACATCAGGCCACCCCACTAGTCCCCAGGCTGTGTTTCTTGATGGAGGGGGCTTGGGAAATGGGTGGAGTGTGGGCAGAGAGGGCAGGTCATGTCCCAAGCCCCACACACCCTTAAGAATGGCCCTGCTGGGCAGTGTCTGCGGTGGGGCTACCTAGGGGATGAGGCTGGCCACCAAACCCAGTGCCACTTCATATGCAGCATGCAGCTACCTAAGGCACTGTAACGAGCATCTGTATGGGGGGAGAGGTCTCTGCGCCCCACAGTCTACTCCTGGCGAAGGGATTGGGGGTTCCCAGCCTCCTCTGTTCCCAGTCCACCCGCCGTCTCCCACGCTCTCCTTCCAGATGTCACCTCTCCTCCTCAGTCCTTGGGGTTTGTTCCCCCTTCTGCCAGCTCCGTCAGTGCCGATCCTCAGCCTGCCTCCTCCAGGACCGCTTCTACCTGGGTCTTGGCATCCCGGGCAGCCCAACTGCTGCGGAGATGGACCACCTCCGGCGCTGCCTCAGGCTTCTCTGCTCCTGGGTCCTCCTTCGGCTCCTCTGGCTGGCTCTCCACCTCTTGTCTCTCCCGGTTAGGCCGGGATGTCCCGCCGCTGACCTGGGGTCCAGGGTTTCCCTGCTGGGGAGAGAATAGCAGTCCCAACTCCTCCCACTCCTCTCCTGGGCTCCCCCCTCCCTTTTCTGCTTCTTCTCTGGTGTGCCGTCCTGCCCCCACACTGGCGTCGCCGGCTGTCCCTGGGTCCCTCTGCTCGTCGCCCCCGCCTTCAGCCCGTCGTTCCCTGCGCAGGTGTGGCTGGCCCCGCAGGGCTTGGGGGCGGCAGCGGGATGGCTGGGGTGCCGGGCAGCCGCTGGCGAATGACCCGGAGTGCGGGGGCTGGATCCCCCATCACAGACACCATGAAATTTGGAGTGTTTTGGTGTCCCAGATTTTGTGGTGGCATCCTCTCCCCTTCCTCGATTTCTGTAGTTGGGGAAATTAGAGACTCTTACTCCAAATGTATCGAGTAGCACTTTCACATTTGCAGATTTCCCTCGTGCCGGGCAGCCGCTGGCGAATGACCCGGAGTGCGGGGGCTGGATCCCCCATCACAGACACCATGAAATTTGGAGTGTTTTGGTGTCCCAGATTTTGTGGTGGCATCCTCTCCCCTTCCTCGATTTCTGTAGTTGGGGAAATTAGAGACTCTTACTCCAAATGTATCGAGTAGCACTTTCACATTTGCAGATTTCCCTCATTCTGTCCTCCAT